CTCTTCCGATCTAGACACAATTTCAAGAGAATCAGTCCTCGTTTAGAGCCAACAGGAACAAACCTCGATAACTTTTTGAATCACACGGCATGAATAGCGATTCAGACACATTGGATATAGCTTGCCAAAGAGATTGCTTGTGATCCATCTGTGCTCTTGTGTATTGGCATGTTGAACGGCACACTGTATGAAGAAATTACCGAACACATCCATGCAGAGTGCCTGAACCATGACGATTTCAGCCATCGAGCTCATTCCACCGCGTTAGGGAGGAGCAATAAGGAAAAGGAAAAGCCCTGAAAAAAAACCAAACCTGGAAAAAGTCCGCTACTTCGAACAATTGCTTCCCAAGCATCTCTCGCTCGGGTTTACCTTCAGCAGGATAGTTTGCTTGAAGGTACCTGAAGTCAGAAGAACCTATCCTTGTGAGATTCATGGACACGGGTCTCTTCGGTAATTTCCAATTCGAGGAGACTTCTGCGCAGATTGATAGTGAACTCACGTGCAGCCAGATTTATCCCTAGCAAATGTCTCCAGCAATCCTTCTTCAAGTAATTTTTTCAGCGGGACAATAATATGGCCGTGTCCATCCATCACCCAGCTGGGCAGAGCTGACCGAAAACGGTTGTCGCCAAAAGTACTATCACCTTCAGACGTCTCATTCAATCTCAGTTTCGACAAAGGAGAAACAATTTGCGACGGAGCCGACGGCTAAATGATGTAAATGCCTATGTTGATCAACACCGCAACTAGAAATGCTAAACAACAGCAGATTAAATATTAGTAAAATGATAAGCTATTAGGTGAGTCGCGGAGGTCTAAAGCCGTTTGGACGCGCTGACTTTTGGCTGCGAGCTCATTTTTAAAGTGCCTAGATCACCAAATCCGCTGAAAACTTGTATATAGGGGTAATCTAACATCCTGTTCACAAATATGACATTCATTCTTGGCGCTGGCGCTAATGGAGGACACTACGATTATCTGCTCAGCTTTAGCAGAAGGCAGATAATCGTGTTTCCATTAGCGCCAGCGCCAAGAATGAATGTCATAGTCGTAATCAGGATGTTAGATTACCTCTATATACAAGTTTTCAGTGGATTTGGTAATTTAGGCAAAATGAGCTCGCAGCCACATGTGAACGCGTCCAAACGACATTAGCCGTCACGGAGGCGCCAACTTCAGAGATGTAATATTGGTGGATGCGCATCTCTAAAGCTCACTAAAATCACATCTTAGAGCGCGTTCATACTTTGAGGCAGCGTTTCGAGTGTCAGCGATTGTTTCGAGCGACAATCGATACCTATACTTTTTTAGTCGCTAAAAACGTTCACAACACTGACAGACGCTCATAACGCTGCCGCAAAGTATGAAACCCTTATTGTTACTACCAGTTCGGCAGCCGCTGCGCATGGTTGTGCTCATCATGGTTAAGCCCACACCTCAACATGAACTCAGTGCGCTCCCCTTTGGACCTTATCAGCTATTATCACTTTCTGTCACTCACCGAGAATGCTCCCGGCCCACCCACTGCTTCACTTATCGCCCTAAACTCACTACGGTAATCTATCGAACATTCACACCAACAAACTTAGCGGATTATGAGGAGAGATGGCTGAGTGGGTAAGAGTGTAGTCTCATTCCCGCACTCTGCTCGAGCTCGCCAGGCACAAACGGTGCCTTGTAAAAATTGCAAGAATGGTGATGATAATAGCCTCAGGTCCAGGTTAAACGATTAGAAGTCGCAAAAGTACTGGTTAATGCTACGACGCCAATCGGTAGATATTAAAATTTGAATTGCAGAACTTCTTAAGAACTTCCACTTTGACTATCTTATGGACTCCTTTCAGGGATTATGCCTCATATCCAAGATATTTCGGAAAGCCCTTATGACGAAAAACAGCTTACGACATCTCAACATGTTTTCAACCTATGTTGAAATGACATAATTCAAACTAATCGAATGGGGATCTCCTAATTTATTTTACATGAAACTTCTGAAAGCGATTTGCCTCCCGAACTGAAACTCACCTGGGCATCAGATTCTTGCTGGAAACGAAATGGAGTGAATGTTGGCTGCAACGCGTTTCCTCCAAGCTGTGCATTCCCATTTAGACAACCGAAAGGTCGGCGTTGATCTGGTGGGAAGTCAGGCTTTGTGGGAGTTGGAGGAAAACCAGGCGGTGAACAAACTACGTCTTCTGTACAACAGTGAGTAAAAAGTAAGAATCATTTAAATCTGAAAGAGGCTACGACTAACCGGATAAAACGTCGATTTTTGACGGAACTTGAAACGCAGATTCCAGAATCTGAGAGCTGGGAGGTATCTTGGCAGTAGATTGGACTCATGAATGTTGAACGACAACCGTAGCTCGTGTTGTCGAAAGACAACGGATAAGGGACAGGAAGCTGGCTTGTTAGATCCATCACGACCACAGACAGTGCCGTACAGATCTTAAAGGCGGCTGGCCAACGAACACCCTGGTAGGTCTGCGGACCTGAAATGCTAAGGAATGGGGATTAGGCTTAGAACTTACAGGACGAAACTGCCTGAAATGGAAAAACAGTGCAGGCTCCGGGGAAAGACCGAAAAAAAGTGTCACGGGACCGTCTACCACCGGGCTAAACCCGCCGCCAACGACGCTGCCAACTGACCAATCATAGACCGAATGGGGCGGGGCATCGCATCGACGGAAGCGATTTGACCACGGCTGCAGGGATATCGATCGGGCCAAAATTAGCTGTGTTTAATCATTCCCAGGGGACCCTGGGATAGGGTTCTTATTGTAAAATGGTTGAAGAACGAGACGTTCATCCATCAGGAAGTTACACACGTTCTTTTGCGCGCTGAAATTCCTTTTCCAATTGATTTGGTAGGTCATCAAATAGGCTCAACTTTGTCCGTGCTGCACCTCCGATCTCAAAAAAATCAGTAGTAAGTGTCCTTTCTCCTTTGTTGTGGGCAAAAACCTCGAAGATTAGCCCTCTCTGAGGAATTAGATGACTTCTATAATTTGTGGGAGCTTTCATAGTTCATATTTTTTGGGCGCTAGCACACATCTGGCGCCCTAAAACGAGACAGGGTGAACTGGGCGAGACGGGGGACGTGAAAGACAGTCGTCCCAGGGGTATGTGGCAAGAGAATCGTAATTCGCCGCGCCAGTGGGCGTCGCGTGCGACGTCGCGCCTGCTAATGACGACGATTTTAGGTGGTATTGGTCGAGAATAGACAATGTATGACCAAAAATAGACATAAGTAAGTCTACTATGTCCTCCTCTGCGTGAAATCCGATGCTCCAATCGAAAGGGTAGTGCAAATCAAGGAAACGTCGCGCCATTGCCGCGCGCGACGAAGCGGCAATTTACGATTCTCTTGCCCGTCCCCAATCGTTCGGTGTCCGAGCTGGTGGACGTGGTCGCGACATCGCGCCTGTACGTGTGTATGTAGATAGTTTTGTCGCTGTGAATGTTAGGAGTGTAAGAGGGCCAGATTTGGCGTAGCGCCAGCCTGCTCTCCAACAATCGTTCGCGAAAGCCAGCCTCCCTGGTAGGCCTCAGAGCCCGCAGTGAATAGGACGTATCTAATGTATAATCTAGTCGCCGTGGACGATGGGGCATGTCAAGGAGATGAGTCTGGCGCGGTGCCAAACTCATAATCCATCAGTTTATGAAGCGAGCAAGTGACAAGCTGCATCGTATCGTTCGTATAAGTTGTCTTCTACCAGCTGCATACCCGCTTCAACAGCTGGTGGCAGAGCACGAGTTTGGCGCCGTGGCACACGGCCTGACACGCCTCTTCATCCACAGTGAACTAGGAGTATATCACATACAAAGTGACATTTATGAAAACAACAGTCCGACTACGTTCACCATGTATGATGTAATTTTTTTTTCGGCGAATCCACTGCCTACCTGTACACAGCAGGCGCCATCAAAGTATTGTTCCCAGTGTGCCGCCCTGAGCAATCGGAGGAAGAAGCTTCCGCGAAAATGTCTTGATAGGTATCGACAGGCGGTACGGCGAACCAAGCGAGCGAATCTGGTACTTTCGCGAAAAGGCTTACATATACGTATTGATCAGAACTGGGCTTCGCCCGCGCGTAAACGCTGCTCCTTCCGCGCGCCCACTCCTCCCTTGGGTGGAGTCAGCGAAATCGGTACGTATCTTTATTCACGCTGGCGCCGGTTCAGGGCACAGCGTTCGATGGGGATTCCCTATGGGGGGGTCGTATTTGGCCGCCAAAAGGGGGGTCGTATTTGGGCTGGGAAAAATTTATTTTTATAGTTGATTTTTCTCGCTTTGCGGACGTTTTGGAGGGGGGTCGTATTTGGTCGTTGTTGGGAGGGGGGTCGTATTTCTGGCTAGGAGTTACGTGGTTCACTTCATGAGTTTTATGAATTTTCTGTGTTATAGGTACTATGTACGCCCGTACGATGTACGTCGCATGCAGGGGGGGAGGAAGCGACGTACACAGGGCACAGCATTGGTTGGGGATTCCCTATGGGGGGGGTCGTATTTGGGCTGGGAAAAATTTATTTTTATAGTTGATTTTTCTCGCTTTGCGGACGTTTTGGAGGGGGGGTCGTATTTGGTCGTTGTTGGGAGGGGGGGGGTCGTACCAGCCCCTGAAAAAAAGGGGGGGGGTCGTAAAAGCTCGACCAAAATCCCCATCGAATGCTGTGCCCTGGACGTACATCATGCGCAGCATGGGGGGGGGTCGTAAAAGCTCGAACAAAATCCCCATGGAATGCCAGGGCACATCGTTGGTTGGGGAATCCCCAACAGGGGGGTCGTATTTGGCCGCCAGGAGAGGGGGGGGTCGTAGTGAGTGCGGCAGCCAGTAACGAGCAGCGCAAATTGTCAATGTGCTGAGTCCTGTACAACGAAACTTGCTTTGTAGAGAACTCGGATATGCAAAAAATAGTACAAAACTTTCATTCATCAAACTAATCCGAAATAACTGCAAATATTAATAAGTCGACATTATCTCGTAAGTCCGTTGGTGACTAAACAGTACAACTCAAACTCTGGTTCGCTGCCAATGATATGGCGTGTCCGCGGTCGCGCTTGGCGCTGAGCCAACCTGTTTTTTTCTCGACAAGCGACAGGACTACCATATCGTTCATATCAGACGTTTTCCAGCAGTTGGTCTCCTTTATCGGAGTCAGCGATTGGCGGAGCACGAATCTGGCAGCGTTGACAGGGACATGTTCCATCATACGCAACGGAAAACACTGTAAACAAGTGCACAGGCTCGCCATGGACCTCCCTGAACCTTATAGACACATTTGCTCGCGTGAACAGACATTACGCACAAGTTGCACCATCCCATCACCTCTGCGCGGCGCATCCAAAGTTGGCGTGATCGGCGCTAAACGAACCATATCCTGCTCCTGCTCCACCACAGGATACGTTCTACATGCGTTCCTGGCTATTCGAACACGCTCACTTGAAACGGTACACAGGAAACGGGTTTTTCGCGCAGCTGGGAGTGTTCCTCAAGAAATCCCCATAGCGAGATCTCATGAATCCCGAGAGCTTCAGAAACAGTTCAAGAGGTTTTTAGAAAGAGAAAATCTTCAAACACTCGAAACCGTTCTCAGATTTGTGAAATGTTGAGTTACAAAAAAATATATTGATTCAAACCTGTTCAGTTGAAATCACTCCCCAACGAATCCCCATGGCAGATTTCTCTGTGATTTTTGCGACCTTCATAAACGTTTTAGTACTTTTAGGAAGTGCAAACCTTCCTCTACACGAGTACGGTCTCCTCTTCCCCACAGGTCCGCTTTTGAGGAAGTTATGGTCCTTCAAAGACACCTAACTCAGCTGGAAATTCTCGCTCCATGGCTAAAATTGCCGAATAATCTCCTGTCACAGCTGCAATTACATGCGCTTCTGCTACCGTACTCCAATAATCGGGGTAATGCATTTTTACGGCGGTTTGTATAACTGTTACGTAGTGAGACAAGCCTAACTTTCTTTTTCCTCGTCCTCAATCTTGGGAATAGACGTTGTTAACACTGTGGTCGCTGATGGCCGCTCCCAGAGAGGGAGTCCACCTCAGGTTAACGAATGCTCATTGAATTTAATCGCGATATATCGTTATTATTACCATGTGTGTTTCAAAACGGCCATCGAAGAAGTTCATCATACGAGTTTCTCATAATACGATTGTACCGTTTTTTGTTTGCAATCATCTCTGTATTGTTCTATTATGTCATGACTTCAAGTCGTCCATTTAGTATGGGCACCTTCATACAAGTAGAATTTCATAGTGGGCGTTTCATAGTTTCATTTAAGGCGAAAAAAACCGAACGGCAAAAAAGGGGGGGTCGTACCGAACCCCCAAAAAAAGGGGGGGGTCGTACAGGCTCGACCAAAATCCCCATCGAATGCTGTGCCCTGTCGAATGCTCTGCGCCGGTTTTGCCGGCCTTTTGTCAGAAGAGTTCGACGCTCCTCCCGGTCGATACGCATTTATTGCTTTTCACCGTTTCTCCGATTCATTCGGGTCTCAGATTGTGAACAACGCCAAAACAGCTCGTCTCAAACCTCGCTACGCGCAACATCACACTGTAATGCGCGGCGCCAGGCAGGGCACGCGAATCACAATGGGGAGACGTATTTGGTCTGACAGAGATTTTTTTTTATGGTTGTTTTCTCTTGCTTCACGGATGCTTTATAGCAGGGGGGGTCGTGTTTGCTTGGAAAGGAATTTGCGGTGTTAGGAAAAAAACTTTTCCCGGCTGTTGGCTTTTTGGGGTTTTTCGCGTTTCACTGGGAAAGTTGGCGGAACTGCCAAGGATTTATACAATTACTGTTTCCGATAGTTGATAATAGTAGCTGGTTCTTAACGACCTCCCCCCCCCCTCCGCTCGACAGCAGCAAACTTTTGGGGAAAAACTAGAAATTTCTCGGGAAATGCCGGGAAAATCTGGAAGAAGTGGTGGGAAGTTGGGAAATCTAGGAAAATGGTAGGTAGGATGGTGGGAAGAGAATGGTGGGTCGGATCTGAGGAGCAATTAGGGGGTGGGGTGGTATTTTGCAGGAATTTATCACAACGCGATGGCGTGCCATGGCGCCAGGACGACTGCCTTGATACTTACCCACCGGCAGAGCAGTCACGACAACTCCAGTCGTCTGTAACTGTAAGAGAGGGAGAGATCAGCGCTGCTGACGTGCCGAGCGATGTGGGCGATGGTGTGGTGCCGATTCGATATTTCTAAAGGGTAAGTCAGTACAGCTGAATTTCGGGCTTATTGAACATCTGCAGTACACGTCTGCCCTCAACTTCCACGTGGGTAAAACGTTACTTACCAGTCGGTCCACGGACGGACTTGATCGTTTTGTCGCGAAAAAGTTTCTATTTTCTCTGAATTCTTGTATGCAGTGTATGTAACTCTGTGAACTGTGACCTTACACATTCCAACTTTTCACGATGATAAGAGGCTCACATAGATGATAAATGGCTCCGGAGTCCGGCCTCCGCCAAAAAAGCTCTTCCTGGACTCATGGCATATTTTTTTTGCACCTTCCGATGCCTTGACGGCCTCACTCTGCACTTTGGCCTTTCGTAACAAATCCTCCACCAAGAGTTCAAGCTGTCATGTGGTCCTACCTACCAGACGACGAAATAGCTGCACGCGGGGGTGACGTACTTAGCCCTCGCAGTACTGTACCGCCGTGGCGCTCTCTGTTTCTGCGTCGCCGCGAAAGGGAAGCAGAGCCAAGCGTACGTTGCGGGAATTGCGAGAGGGGGGTCGTATTCGGTTCCCCTGGGAGGAGGAGGGTCGTATTTGCAGGTACTCATCGCAGCAGCGACGAAGGGCACAGTACAAAGGATTTTCCCAGATTTTTTTGATCCCTAAGCTGAGAGGGTAAGTAGCTCTCTCGAAGGCCTAAGATAGCGCTCTTGTTTCAGGGGTGGATGTAAGTACCGCCTGGGGACCATGCCCAAATCAGCGTTCTCTTGATAAAAAGTAGGATCTGCGGCGTTGAAATTACGCCCCGTCTTCAAAAATGGTGAGCTGTGCTGCTTAGGGACAATTGCCGCGATCGAGTGTTACGGAAAGCGGTGTTCAGTCATGAAGCAGTAGCCTATAAGTGACTCCCAATAGAGAGAAAAGCGAAAAAAAGACTGCAAGCACTCTATGGAGACCCCTAGCAGTGGGGCCGGCGCCTTGGAAGAGTTTGTCGGACGTCGGCAAGCCCAATCAGCAGATTCGACGTGCAACCATTCCCGCCAAGAGCACAGAAAATCACTCCTACGACGCTCCAGGCCACCTTATAAGCACGCGTAGTTCTGCTTTTGAGCCGTTGTCTTGCAAAGAGTGCTATTCGTGGTTGCAACGGTTGCAATAATCACGCGTCTCTAGCTTCTTTATCTCGCCGTTTCAAGTGACGAAAGTGGTATATTCTCTGCGAATGCGGACAACGATGCCAAATGCACGGAGGCATCTTGCGGACTTGATCTCGCGAAGTGTCTTCAAATGTGCTACCACTACGGAGTCGGCGGAAGTCGATTCCGCGCGTCAGAATGAAGTCCCTGTAACAGCAGCGCTTTCAGAAGGAAATGACTCAACTTTTCGATGTACGCTTTCTGCTGGCACGACCACACTGAACACCAATGCTTTTACATGGCGTGTAGGTGAGATTGTGATTAGCACCCCGTTTTATCCGCTCCCTTAACAGTATCAAAATAACATCATGACTTGAGGTAAGACTTATACCGTCGCGTTTTTTTCCTATGAAAGGTGGGTTGTTTCTATTGTGAGGATGTGTCCGTGTGTGTGTGAGAACAATGGAATGTGGCACGAAGTCCTGCATTTGCTTTCAGGGGAATGAACAGTGCTTGCGACGCAACACCAGCCCAGTATCCGAAGAATTACTCGTATAAGCACATTGTGAACAGCCTGCTGGAGAACGGGGTAAGGCTCTAACATACTTGTCATTTTCGAGTGAGCACAGAGGGTCGGACCCGTCTATATGCGCCCGAGAAAATGCTCCTACTGCCGTATGTGGGTTGATTCGAGAACGGGTTCTACCTACTGCACTGGTGAAAACGGGAATGTGGCAGGGGAATCGTTACTCACCGCGCTGGTGGTGTCGCGTGCGACGTCGCGCCCGCAAATGACGATGGTTCCAGGTAGTAGATGGCGACAACAGGCAATTCAGAACCGAAAATAGTCATGAATGTCTACGATACTGGGTTCATTGCTCCAATCGACACTTTAATACAAGTTAAAAAAAGCCGCGCCCATCACCGCGCGCGGCAGAACGGCAATTTACGATTCTCTTGCCCGTCTCCCGGTGAATACACTTCACTGTTTAATACCAGATCCAGTTGCTTGAGATGTTTTTTTCCAGAATCAGAGCAGGAACCAAGAAATGCAGGCATCGGTATGTTTGATGCTGTTTTTTCAGTCATTTTCTGTGAACATTCATCATAACACTGTTTGGGAACGGCGTCCACGACCAATCAACGTGAAGCCCTTTGTTGTAGAAGATGGGGCTGCTCGCAGTCCCAGAGGATGCCCACTTCCCTTGAAGACAAAATGTACACTCACCTTTGAGAATGTCTTCTCCGTGTGCGAGCTGAATGGGGTCCATAGCTGCGATAGCGTACCACTATTTTTGCTCAGAAGTGTGCGAAAACGGGGTTGAAGGATAGTGATGCCTATGTGCTGCCTCCACAGTCCTCCCGCATTAACCTCAATGTGCAGTGCTTGCATCGATACTAAGATCCCGCAGCGAAACACGAACTCAGCAGTAGAGAATTCCCAGAAGTGAGAGGGCGCAGACAAGTAAATTGTTTGGCTATGATTAGGCGTGCGGTTGGCTGCTCGGCATGGTGGGCACGGTCAAGACAATCGTCATTTGCTCTATAGCGCGGCGACGGGTACGACGTTTCCTTTACTTGCGTCTTTCTGAAGCATCGGTTTTCGAGTGAACTATGCCAGCGTGGCATTCATGGCTATTTTGGCTGTGCCCTATTGTCGCCAACTGCCACCGAGAAAGCTGCATCTGCGTGCGACGTCGCACGCGACACCTCCCAGCGCGGCAGTACGATTGTTTTGTCACACACGCGCGGCAGCGTGGGTGGAACATGGAGAATGCACTCGAATATTGCTATTGTCCTCCACCCTCGTTCTCGGGCACGTTTGATGGGAGAAAGTAGAGTGACCCATTCACCTCACACGTGGAAACGATTGCTCTTGGAGGTGACTGTACAGTTTGTCTTCAATCGAAAGCGCTAAACAAAAGTACGTCTCAACGACGATAACCTGACTCCGACTCCGCCTCCGCGACCTGGAACACATTTATCATTTCGTAGGTAAGGCGATTAGGTCTCAATATTCACTGGCTATACCAGGATCTGCTTCTCTTTTCTGCACTCACTTTTCTCCTCTATTTCGTATGCTAATATAATGCTCAGAGCCAACCGGGCTCTATTCAGTGCGTTTTCTGCGGTGCTAGGACACCGGGTTTGTGGCAAGAGAATCGAAATTGGCCGCGCCAGTGAGCGTCGCGTGCGACGTCGCGCCGCTAATGACGACGATTTCAGGTGGTATTGGTCGAGAATAGACAATGTATGACCAAAAATAGACATAAGTGTCTACCATGTCCTTGTCTACGTGAAATCCGATGCTCCAATCGAAAGGGTAGTGCAAATCAAGGGAACGTCGCGCCCATTGCCGCGCGCGACGAAGCGGGAATTTACGATTCTCTTGCCCGCTTCCCTAGGACATCACTGTAAAGTCACGCACAGCACTGTCCCCGAGTGCTGCGACTTGACCTATCGAGGGGTGAAGGACCTCCTAGTTCAAGCTGGGATCTGAAGGTGGGGGTCGCTGACCGGAGAACAGGCAGGTCCAAGCGTAACCTCGTCATCCGGGCAGTTGATTAGGGCGGTCGTCAACGGGCCGCAGCGCGTGCCAGGAACTATTTGCTTTTTCCAGGCTAATTTAGTCATTTTTTCCACCTTGTGAAGATAAGGAGCTGCTAATCTGGGAAAAAGTAGCCAAAACAGTGAAAAGTTGGAAAAAATGACTAAATTAGCCTGGAAAAAGCAAATAGTTCCTGGCACGCGCTGCGGCCCGTTGACGACCGCCCTAATCAACTGCCCGGATGACGAGGGTATATCGTATAGTCTACGACGTAAATGCTGACAGAGGGAGGTTGTATGTGCAGATGTCAATAAGCAGTGGCAACGTTTCTGAATCACTGCCATCGCTTTTCTGACTCGTCATGAAGCACCGTGTCCATCAGTAGTATTCCTGACACACAGTGCGACTTATGGTTACTGTAAATGAAACGACATCATAGCTAAGGCTGCATATACTCTAGTTCGCTGCGGACGGTTGGGTGTGTCAGGCAGTATGAGTGTTGACGCCGTTAAAGCCGTTCCGTGCCCCCCCCCCTCCTTGTTGAAGCGCGCATGCGACAACCTGGTAGAAAACGAGTAATACGAACGATGTGATACAGTCATATCACTTGCTCGCTTTAACAACTGGTGGAGAACGGGTTTGGCACCGCGCCAAACTCATCCCGCCTGACACGCCCCCCCCCCAGCCGTCCGCAGCGAATTGCTGTCACCAGAGACCACTTTGTTCTATCAGCCCTGTCGTCGCAGCGCGTCGATGCGCGTTGTATCGTGATACTGCGCGTCGACATGCCCGTCGCAAAGTCTGCAGGACGCCGAAACGCCTCACGTAGCTCACTGAGTTGCTTCCCGAGTTCATATCTGCAGATTGTCTCACATTTCTGTAGTGT